CTTATAGATTCATGTCATGTGTACTATTATAATAATTTATGGTTGAGATTAATTTAAATTATATATTCATTATAACAATAAAAACAATAAAGTTGTTAATTTTTTTTTTAAAACTATCAAATAAAGCAATCAAGTGTATCCAAACTAATATTTTTAAAAAAATTTAAGATTGACGGGAATATGAAAACTCCTGACTTTTTACCTATCAAACTTCTTCGGAATTAATTTCTTACATGTTTTCTCCAAATTTTGAAGTAATCTTAAAAAATAGATCAAACTTAAAAACATCATTGAGTTCTAAATAACAATTCAACTAAAAAACATGATAATACATTTTTTAAAAACAAAAAACTTATTTGGAGGTTTTTAAATAATTATAAAAATATATTTATTTAGATTCTTTAAAAGTGCCAGATCCTTTTCAATTAGTATAATTTAAAAAATTCAATACAATTACGTGGTTTGGCGCGTCAAAAAGTCGGCATATTTTCGCCAGTCTTTTTTTTTCTTGAAAATATAAGTTAGGGTACACTTAATGTTTTATTTGATAGTTTTAAAAAATAAAAATAATTGACGGCTTTGTTGTTTTCATTATTAAGATGAATATATAATTTAAAAGAATCTCAACCATAAATTATTATAATAGTACACCTAAAAAATATATTTATTAATTCAAGCATATTTCTCGATTGACAAGACAATTTCCATCACTCGAAATTATTTTTTTGATTCGATGTTTAAAGCACCGGTTATACACCTTACGGATTTTCAATCGAATTTTTCAATTTTCATGTGATTTTATTTAAATATTCATCATGTATTTATGATTTTTAAATTTTTTTGTGATTCTCTTTTAATTTTTCAGATTATGTAGATTCTAGAAATTCATATATATGATTATTTTGTTTGATGTAGAATACATTTTAATATTTGAATACATTTTTTAATATGATGTTCAATACATTTATATCATTATACAAAATACAATATAAACACTAGAAGAAATACAAATACAAATAATATATCTATTAGAATGAATACGACTTAGGAAAGAAAACATATTTTCAAGAGATATATAAATTACACGATAAAAAGATGAATACAAATATAATTCTTAAATAAGTATAGATTCATTTGACATACATATTGGAATGAATACAAACTTATAAATAAATACAAGTTTAATTATGTAAAATACAACATGAAATCAGAATAAATACAAATACAGATGATATACAAATTGGAATGTCTACAATTTAAGAAAAGATACAAAATTTTGATAAATAAAATAAATACATTGTGGGAAAAGTATGTCAAATAACATATAAAAATACAACATGAAAACTAGAATGAATACAAATACAAATGACATACATATTGGAATGAATACGATTAAAGATACAAATTTTTGGTAAATAAAATAAATACACTGTGAGAAAAGTATGTCAAATAACATATAAAACTATGGGTGTTCAAATTTGTAAATTTTAAAAAAATCAAACTTTTTAATAGATAAAATTCTAAAGTATCATAAAGTTTCATAACAATAACTAGTTTTGAAAGACAAGAACAAACAACGACCTTTAGGAAGAAGGAAGAGACCACTTATTTTAGGTTTCATAATCTTTTGTAAGGAAAATAATAAAGATTATCAGTAACTTGATCTAATTTGAAATATTCTCCCTCCCTCTTGATTTTCTCTAGTTTGTTATTTCTTAATTATATTATGTTAAATTAAATAAAGAAAAAAACATAAATCAACCCATAACAAACTAAAATATTATCATTTTTCATAATATTGAAAGTATTGCTAAGGGATCCTATTAAATGTCAAAATATTGTTGTTTTATAAGATTTTTCAATTATATTTCTACTTTTTGATACATTGATTTTATATGATAAAATATTTAATTATTGTTTTTGAAGTGAAATATTGATAGAACAAACGTATCTAGTTTTATGAAATATAAATCACACCAACGCTCTGCGATTCTATGCCGCGCACCTAGAGTCGAATTGAACACACTTAACTACTGCGATACGAAAGAGTTAATGTCACGGTTGTTCAACATTAAATATTTATTCCTTAAATCCATAATTTGCCTCTCTATATGATGTGATTTTCTAACGAAGGTTATTTACCTGACCACCCTTGAGTAGTTGTAGCGCCGCCCGTCCATGAAATTATAAACTAATTGTATATAATGAATAAAAACATTGGAAGAAGCAAATGTGAAATACAAACCTAAAGCCATCATTTTCCGCTAACTTTTCACAATCCTTAATTTTATTTTATATAGTCCCCAATTAATTTATTAATTTGAGAGTTGAATCTGAATCTAGTTTGGACCATTTTTTTTTGTAGTAACAACGGTGTTGTTGAATCAAATTTTAATTAACTAATTATTATATATATTTTAAATTGAGTCATGTTGTGCCTGTGCAGTGGTGAGACAACTATTGATCTATCGGATTCTAACGCCTTGTGGTCCTAATCCCCCCCCCCCCCCCCACATCCTCGATCCATCCCATGAACTGATTTAGGGAGTCAGTCTATGTCACATAAGCGTCAAGCCGATATCACTGGATAATGCTTATTGGACCAAAATCCGATTGGCCCAACCTACTTTACAAGCTTACTGTTGATTTAACTATATAAATCTTACTAGTGAATATTCTAATTACTAGAAATTTCAATAATTCTTTACTTTACGTGTTATACCATTTTCGATTATTGGATACATATTATTGTGTAAAGACACGTTAGATACGTGTATCAATCGAATGTGTATAGCTGAGATACTTAATTTAAATTTTTCTGAATTAAATGTTGTAATTTAATGTCTTAATTAGTGGAGTAAATTATGGGCAATCAATATATAGACGCCTACAAATTCATCAACTAATTCAAAACCACAATAGACAAGGGAGACATCAACTTGATGTTTCTTATATATTTCATCATGACAAAAATAACTTTTTACTTGTCGAATATTATATTTTTACAATATATATCGATTCAGTGTGTAAGCATCATGATGAGTCATGAAATTTTGATCATTTAGGTATTTTTCTAAATAATTATTTTCAAATTTCTAAAATATTGAACAATCAATACTTAAAACTTTAATTAAATGTTGATCCTGATTATTCAAGTTGATCCTTCACTTGTCTTTACACAAAAAGAGTATTTAAACCAACAATCTAATTACAAATATGTACACTATAATATTATCCTAATATCCAAGACTAGTACAGAAAAAATTGATTTGAATTGGACACCAAATTTTGAAAGTAGTATACTAAACTGTTGCTAGTAATTAACATGCACCAATTGAAGCTTCTAGGCAGCCAACTGTCAGCACATAACATGTAAGTAATTGGTTTAAGTGGGGTTATGTTTATGTCTAAACTTTATTTTTTTAAGGGAAAAAGTCAAAACTATTCTTGAATTAGGGAAAAGGTCCAAAAAAATATCCTCTATTTATGTTTTGATCTAAAAATATCTTCTTTTTTTTAATTTATATATATCTTTTCATTCACCTTTTTGACTTACTTATATCCTTTCATTCACTTTTTTTTTACTTAACTCATACCTTTCCTCATAATTTATTTAAATAAAAAATTATATATATATATATATCTTCAAGACTCTAATTTTTTTTAAAAAAAAAATCGAATAATTTTCATATTTTCTTTAATTTATTTATTTTTAAAAAGAAATTTTTTTAGATAATTAATATATAATAATAAATATTATTAGTGCCACAATATCTATCTTCTTTTCTAAAATAAGTAAAAAGAAAAAAAATGTTAACTTAATTATTTTTTTCCTAATATTGATAACTACTTTTTAAAGAAAAAGTTTCACAAACAATTTTACTTAAAAGATTAACTCATTAAAAAAATGAAAGAAGAAAATACCAGATGAATAGTATTTGTAAATAAAATAATATATTGTTATGAGTATGACATAATAATTTTTTTTATAAAATATTAATCATCTATATAATGTTTAGAATCTTGATTTAATTAATTAAATATTAGCCGTTAATTTTTTCTTTTGTTATGAGTTTTCAATTCAAGTAAAAACTTAAGAAAATGGAGAGGGAGTTGGATCCAAAAATAAATAAATAATAAAAATTTACAATATTTTTTTTATATGAAGAAATCGGGGTCTTGAAGAAGTATAATGTTTTGATTTGGTTAAATAATGATAAATAATCTAATTAAGGTGGGTTCTTTATACTACACATAATAAATTTTTAAAAAATAAAAAATAAAGAGAAAATTGTTAATTTCAAGAATATAAGTGAGCGAAAAAGATGAATAAAAGAATTTTTTAGATCAAAAGATGAACTAAGGATAATATTTTTGATATTTTACCTTTTTTTTAATTATAACGTTGTTAAGATACTCAAAGGACCAATTATAAGAAAACCACCCAAAGGTTTCATGAAAAGATTGAAAAAACCATCAAACAACGCAATACAACTGCTCAACTAGAATCAACATAACAAAAAAATATACTTAATGAGATCATTTATAACCTAAATTATAACCCCTCCGTGCACTTTCATTTATCATGTTATATTTTACGCAAGTCAATTTGATTCATTTTAAAAGTTAAATGAGATTATATTAATTTAATATTTTAAATAAAATTTTCAGATATTTAAAAATTATATGAAAAGTATCATGAATTGTAGTTTTTTTTTGCATATATGAAAAAATACATTATAAATATTAGTCAATTTTTTTATAATTTGACTCTAAATATGAAAAAAAATGACAATTAAAAATAGACGGAGGTTGTAAATTAGCTTATTAATTATTAATTTGATAAATATCATAATTAACTGATAATGACAATTAAATATTTAGAAGACGATAATGACAGAAATCAACGTTATTTTAGGTATAATTTTTGTTGTATTTTTGAAAAAAATAATCTTTTTTCTGCAACTGGTTATATTAAGTGAACAAACAAAAAACAAGTAGTATAAAAAAATTACAAGTGGACATAAAACAAAATGAGATACAGTATTTGTGTTTCCATTGGAATATTAGCTTGACAAAAACTCAAACGAGCAACACAAAACAAACAGCTAAAAAACCTGTTTTGAAAAATCCAGTGACCAAAACATGTAAATGGTTTTACTGTGGCCTATTGTTTTTTCACCTTTCCCAATTATAAATATCCACTGCCTCAACTGAGTAAACAACCAAAATTTGTGTTCTATAAAAAGTTTTCATATTTAGTGATCACTAAAAAAAAATCAAGAAGATGTCGACTACTGTAGGCCAAGTCATTCGTTGCAAAGGTATAATAATTCCATGATTCTGTAATTTCCTCGTTTTTTTTTTAAGTTTGATAATTTTTGTGGTAATTATATATTATTTATAGCTGCTGTGGCATGGGAAGCTGGTAAGCCATTAGTGATGGAGGAAGTAGATGTTGCTCCTCCACAGAAAATGGAAGTTCGTCTTAAGATCCTCTATACTTCACTCTGTCATACTGATGTATACTTCTGGGAAGCTAAGGTAAACAAAACTAAATTACGGGACTACGTTGAGTATGTTAGTGTTGTCAGCAAATTTTATAAGGGGATTATTTCCTTTGAACTGATTTCAGGGTCAAAATCCAGTCTTTCCTCGAATTCTTGGACATGAAGCAGCAGGGTATGTGTTATCTTGTTTCAATTGATTGATTTGAATTCATCATTTACTGTTTCTAAAGCTAAAAGGGTACTGAATTTTGTTGTCTTCTTGATATTTAGGATTGTGGAGAGTGTTGGAGAGGGAGTAACAGACCTTGCACCAGGAGACCATGTTCTTCCTGTCTTTACAGGGGAATGTAAAGATTGTGCTCACTGTAAATCTGAAGAAAGCAATATGTGTAGCCTCTTAAGGATTAACACTGACAGGGGAGTGATGCTTAATGATGGAAAATCAAGATTTTCCATCAATGGAAACCCCATTTACCATTTTGTTGGGACCTCTACTTTTAGTGAGTACACCGTGGTTCATGTTGGATGTGTTGCAAAAATTAACCCTCTTGCTCCTCTTGACAAAGTATGTGTCCTTAGTTGTGGAATTTCGACAGGTATAGACGAAGACAACGATAGATTATGTTACTAGTTTCTTTTTAAGGAGCTGCTCAATTGTTGATTGATATGAATACTTTTCCAGGCCTTGGAGCAAGTTTGAATGTTGCTAAACCAACAAAAGGCTCAAGTGTGGCTATATTTGGACTAGGAGCTGTAGGCCTCGCGGTGAGTATGCTCCGTTGTGTTGTTTTATTGTTTCCCGTATATGTGTTAGTCTTACGAATGATCTGATCTCATTTGGTCAGGCTGCAGAAGGAGCCAGAATTGCTGGTGCCTCGAGGATAATTGGTGTTGATTTAAATGCTAGTAGATTTGAGCAAGGTAATATAAATTTTTCCTTATACATTATCTTAAAATTCCTTAGTAAAACAACTAATTCATCCATTTTACTTGTATTCTACAGCTAAGAAATTTGGTGTGACAGAGTTTGTGAACCCAAAGGACTATAGTAAACCAGTTCAAGAGGTACTCAAATCATATTTAATTTACTTAATCGAAGAAGAAAAAAGACAGGTCTGAGTTAATAGTTGATGTCTTTTCTTGAATTCTGATTATTTGATCAGGTAATTGCTGAGATGACTGATGGCGGAGTCGATAGGAGTGTGGAATGTACTGGTCACATTGATGCTATGATTTCAGCATTTGAATGTGTCCATGATGTATGTTTTCTGTAATCAAATTAATTTCCTTAGCTGTATGTTTGCGTTCATCTTAACGAACATTGTTGTGATTAACTTTTAGGGCTGGGGAGTGGCGGTTCTTGTTGGTGTACCCCATAAAGAAGCTGTGTTCAAGACACATCCTCTGAACTTTTTGAATGAACGGACTCTCAAAGGAACCTTCTTTGGAAACTACAAACCTCGTTCGGATATTCCTTGTGTTGTTGAGAAATACATGAACAAAGAACTTGAATTGGAGAAATTCATCACTCATACACTTCCATTTGCTGAAATCAATAAGGCTTTCGATTTAATGCTGAAGGGAGAAGGCCTTCGTTGCATCATCACCATGGCGGACTAAACTTTCTGTCCTAGAAAAGGAGCTTCTACTGTTTGAGAAAAAAGACCAATAAATTGTCACTGTCTTATTTTCCCTTTCGTGTTTGGTTGAGTTGTAACATTCCATCCATGTCTCTTCTTTTGTCTTTTGCTTAGATGTTGTGCTTTGCCATATCTCTTTCGATTCTTGTAAAAAATGCAAATTCTCTCTGTTTTATCTCAAGTATATTTACAGAATTTCAGTGATTTGATAAATCTAAACTTTATCATAATATAATCCAAACAGAATTTCAATTGAAAATGATGAAGCCCTTACCGTCATTGTTCCTACAACATAATATACTCAAAGTTTCTTTTCTGTCACTCATGGACGTTGTAGAGGTCGAGGTCGTCGGTGCTCCTCAAATCAATATATACACGAGTTTCTCGAAGAATAGGTCTCCAAAGTTGTCACTCTATATTTGATAACTATTTCTTCCGTTCAGTTTTATTTGTCAACTTTGCGTAGAGATGTCAATATGGGCTAGCCCACTCCATTCGGACTAACCCATACAGCCTTCGACATTTTATGGGTCAGGCCAGGCTAGCACATTTTTTATGTGGGCCAAAAAACGACCGGCCCAACCCACAAAAACGTGAGCTACATGTTTGCCGGACCAACCCACTTTTTTAAAATTATATAATTTTTAGAATTATTAAATTAAATTATAAATTATAATTTAAAAATATTATCATAAAAATCGACAAAACAATAATACATGATGTTAATGTTACTACTTTTTAATCAGATCCACAATTAAAATTATTTTTATAATACTTATTAAGTTTTCTTTCAAGTAAAAATATAAATATCTAAATAGAAATATTAATTTAATTGTTTTGAGTTTGGACTCTCTTTAAGTTTAAATTTTAATATTATATTATATTTTTAAGGGAAAATTGTATATAATAGCAAACTAATAACCTAAAATAAATGGAGTAGCTAGGGTTTGATTTAATTGTGCTCCATAGCAAAGGCTTGCAAAAAATTGTCAGGCGCGTCTCCCCAAATATCTCTCTCGCCACTCTCCTCCAATCTCTCGCTCGCTTCCTCACTTTTTATACAAACACAAGTGTATAAAAATTGTTTCTAATTGTATAAAGCAGAGAAAATTGCATAAATACATATATTTTTGTTCCCTTCTTTCAGATCTCGCTCGCCACTCTCCCAAATCTAGCTTGCCACCCTCGCCTTTCTCACTTATACAAACAGAAGCGTAATGTATAAATTGTGTTTCTGTTTGTATAAAGCGTGAGAAAATTGTATATACACATGCAAGTACATATATTTTCGTCCTATACACTTATAATTATACAATAAAAATACTCCTCTG